GCGTCCTTGTTACTACTAGTAAGGCACTTGTTACTAGAAGCGATGCACTTGTTCCTAGTAGCTGCATTTGCGACCGCTGGGCCGACTTGTTGTGCGAACTTCTTGGCTCGGGAGATGAAGATTGCCCCGGCCGACGGGTGATCCAAGAGGTGCCGACAGATGGAACCACCAACACCGGACAACACGTCGCCGTCGGCGCAAAGAAGGAAACAGCAGCAGCAACGCAACTTGGGTTTCCAAATCTATCCACAGACACATGCCAGTAGGTGGTGAGAAAACCAGTTTGATGTGTTTGAAAGATGCCCTTTTGATCCTAGTTGTGGGTTCAGATTGACCAACACGTGATCTCTTCTGCTTTTTGGGCCAGTCCCCCCCGGCCATGCATGGCGTTTTCACTTCTTTGCTCTGGCTATGCTCGTTTCGCAGCGTGGTGGCCGAGGCTGGTTTCTTCGGCGGACCTCGCCGAGTTCGGTGGTTCCGGGACTCCGTTCGGCTTTTCGTCCCCGTTGAAACGCCCGCAGGGAAGCACACGGCCATGGGCCATGGGCCACAGGGGTTCGAAGCTGAAGGATATTTTTGGACAAACAGAATGGCATGAGTGATGGGGATTTGGACACATGAAGCCGTGAAGCCCCTGACACTCAATTTGACCAACTCCTTGAACTCAATCAAATCCGCTATGTTTGTTTGCATCCTGTGTGAACGTGAGAATGATTTGTCAGGATACAAATCTCATCATGAGTGGCGATTGCAACAACGAGTCGGCCAGTCACAATGGGCTGTGGTTTTTTGAAGGGAGCACTGCCGATGGACGACCGTACTACAAGCGCGATGGCTGGGACTACTGGTTGTATTACGATGCACACTGTGACTTGGAGAGCATAGAAAGGACATGTGTATTTGGGAAACGGGCTGCTTTCAGAAGAAAGGGCAGAAACCCCAATTCCATTTGCCCTGTAATTAGTGCAATTTGCAGACCACCGTCCTTGGCGCAAGAGAAAGAAAGGGCTGCCACACCTGCTTTCCAAGCATTCACAGTCCCATGACAGTGGTTCTTCGGTTTGACGAACACGACGTCGGTCGTTGGACACGGTGTCGAACACGTTGGTCGAGCTTCCGGACACGGCCACTTCGATTTGAAGAAGAAGCGAAGAGAGAATAGAAGAAAGGTCCATATGTTGAAGATAGAACTTAAAGTAGATCACGTTGGAGGCCATCTCTTCTAGGGAGGGCATCTCTTCTAGATTTTGGTATCATTCGGTATTAATTAAGTTAGTACAGTGAAGTTTCCCTAACAATCTAGGAACCTAATCATTAGCGCGAGCTCTCCTGCGTCCAGTTGCGACTCCAGTGACCTCCAACTATCGAGGCCTACCCCCCTTGTGCGCGCGCGTGCGAAAAAGCTACACTACTAGCCAGCTCTTTAATTCCTACTAGCTACCTAGCTACTACCTCTACCACGGCCTAGTATAAACATGATTAATATATTCACTATAATATTAAGAAAAGGACATACTTCTTAAAAGACTTCTTTTTTCAAAGAGAAACAACCCAGACGGTTCCTCCCGCGCTTCCCGAGGCGACGGATCCGAGTCGACCCCGGGGCGGTGGGTCATGGACTCGACGGCGCCCTCGCTCACCGCCACCTACGATCTGGACGAGGCGGGACGTGCTCAGCTCTTGGTTCACAGAAAACCAAAAGAAGTTGTGTTTGTTTTTTCATATACTTATATGTATATGTATATGTATATATATATATACAGATATTAATGCGTGTGTTCAATGATATGTATTTTCTGAGTGAACAAAAGAAGTTGTTGATTTCCTGAGTTCTCCAACCTAGCGATGGCCTCCATCCTACTAGTGATGGTTACCTTTGAAGAGTTCTGGTGAAAACATCGTGATGTTCCTTTATTGAACCACTGCATCATGGCATTTGTCTTGGACTTTGGGGATGACTCAGCAGTTTTCCAGTAAATTGACCTTCAAGGACTTTCACACCCAACTCACGGAATTCCTCCAGAGAACAAAGCAACCTCGTCTTTTTTTTCCTTCTTCTTCTTCTTCTGCTCCTGCTTTTGAGAAGTTTGCAGTGAAGCAGTGCTGACAACACTCGAAGACCTGACGATTCAAACACACACACACACACAGTTACTCAGTTACTCGCACACGCACACAGTTCACCTGTGTTGTTTTTCTTCTGTGAATCGCCAACGTGCCAAACACACACTCTGCGGCACGTCCGTGATGGAACTTGCAGCCAAACCACGCAGGATGGAACTTGCTTCTACCACGCCCGTTACAATGTGGAGGATTTGTTGCCGCCCAGTGGTACTTGGCGCACCTATTGCTGGGAAGTCGGGCAAGGATGGGTCAACGCGGATGTGACGATGACAGCAGTGTCCTGGCTGGCTGAACGGGTGACGACCG